CCTCATCACCCACCTTCGCACTAGCGACACTCGCTACCGCGCCACGCTTCAACCCGAGTTTCCCGACAAGAACCCCCCCCCCCCCATGTACATCACTCTCTACTTCCTCGTCACCCGCCTCCCTGACTCTCTTCGCACATTCAGGGCTCACTGTCGACCTGCTCGAGAAGCATCTCCTTGCAGCTGAGACTAGCATAGTCGCTGTAGCTGCTTCTCGTGGCACTCCTCGCACTCCCTTCTTTGAGGGGTGTTCCCCCTCCCCCCTTGCCCCCTCTGTCGCTTCTGCTGCTGCTGTTGACTTCCTTCGTGCTGAGGAGGTCGGGGCTGCGTCTGCTCCTAGTGGGAGGCGCCACAGCGGCAAGGGCAAGGGAGGCAAGAGTGGTGGGGGTGGTGGCGGTGGAGGCGGTGGTGGAGGCGGTGGAGGTGGCGGTGGTGGGGGTGGGAGTGGTGGTGTGTCTACACGTGTGGTCAAACAAGGAGACGCCGTCCCTAGACTCGCTCTGTAGGTACAGCTGTAAGTCGTCTAGCCAGGTCTCAAACTGGATCGGACGGCCCTCAGAATCGAAGGTGAGAACACTAAGAGAAGGCATAGCGGGCAGAGCAGGGTGGCGCGCGACCAGCAGGGCAGCACGCAGGCAAGGCAGGGCGGCGCGCAGGCAGGACGGCAGGGTACTATTTGGTGGGCCCTCTAAAAAAAACGGCTCTGGAACAGGACCTGCTCTGAAACCATGTCAGAATACTGAACGGGAATGGATGCATTGAGGTCAAACTGAGTACATGTACTAACCCTATTTGGGTTGTACTTCTTATGGGCTACCCCACTACAGCCTACACAACATAAACATTATATTGTTTTGACAGCATGACCCAAAGTGGCCTAATGACCCGAACTGAGATACGCCCTAAGTATTCGTTCATGCCTTCGTTCATGGTACTTTGTACTCGTTAGACCACCTAGTGCAATCCTCGCTATCTCGCTACATTGCACCCATAATAGTAATACAAATAGTTGCATACTTTCTAGTGTATATGAAACAAATTCTGTTTTCATACATACTAAGAGCCAGTGAGGGGAATGCATGTTTAACTTTATTTTGCAATTAGCTTTCCCCTTGCGCATGTGTTTCCGGAAATATATTCAACCATGCAAATCTGTTTCGTCACCTCGTAACCAAAGTTTGCCCAATGTGTACCACCACCATACCATTATAACTTCTCGCGCAAGTATATCTTTAAAAGGTAAACTTCTCAATCTCACATAATACACTGGATTCTGATCTGGTCTGTAGACTGAAGAAAATAAAACAAATCAGAAAATGCACCCTCTCACACGCACCCTCTCACATGCACAAATCTTCTGAGAAAGCTCACACTGAAGAAGGCCCTGCATTAATCTCGCAAGCAAACGAACAAACTTTTCAATGAGAGGGAGCTGCGCATGGCAGCAGTAATGGCGATGGGAGGCAGCGATAGAGCGAGAGGATAGGTTGGAGCGAGGGGAGAATGCAATGGGAGGGAGGGGGCAGAGTAGGAGAGGGAGCTATGGCAGCAGTGGTGGCGATGGGAGGGCTGTGGCTGCCCATTTAGATTGCAGCCATAGAGCGAAGGGGATGGAGCGCTTGGACGGAGCTGAGCGAGGGGAGAAAGTGACGGAAGAGAGGAAAGGGAGGGAAGGAGTGGATGGGAGTGAGGGCAGCGAGCGAAGGGACAAAGCGAGGGGATGGGGCGAGGGGATGGGGCGAGGGGATGGGGCGAGGGGATGGGGCAAGTGGATGGGGCAAGGGATGGGGCGCGGAGAGGAGGGAGCGAGGTGATGGGGCGAGGGAGCAAGCGACATGATCGAGTGGGAGCAAGGGGATGAAGGAAGGGGATGGAGCGAGGGGTTGTCAGAGGGATTATTGTTCATCGATGATACACACAGATGGGCTGCAGAGCAGAGGCCTCACTACCATGAATGCAAGCAGAGGGGAGAGGCAGAGAGGCAGAGAGGCAGAGAGGCAGAGGGAAGCTGAACAGGCTGAAAAGGCTGTGGACCGAGGAAGAGAGGCAGCAAGGGGTTAGGCCGAGCATTTGCGAGCCCATAGATTGTGATGAGAGAGGGAGAGGGACCCCCTCTTCCCTCGCGTCCCCTACGCGATTGTCCTCTCGCCTCACCTAGTACGCCATGTTCTCGCTTCTGTCCGAGCCTGGGCTATAGCGAAGAGTCCGCACGCCACGAAACAAGGCCTGAGAGGCTCAGAGGCCCAATAGCTCCTCCCCATTCCTTCACCCGAGCAGCGAGCATTCGACGGTACAAGGCTTAGCAGGCCGTAGTGTGCACATGACAGGGACGCAATGGGAACACTTACAGGCCTAATAGCCCATCAACCCTTCACCCGAGCCTGCTTTATCGACCATTCGACGGTACAAGGCCTAGCGGGCCGTAGTGTGCACACGGCAGGGACACAATGGGAACAATTACAGGCCTAATAGCCCCTCCCATTCCTTCACCCGAGCCTGCTTCATCGAGCATTCGACGGTACATGACAGGCCATCACATGGACAGGGCAGGTGAGTTTCAAGGTTTCTTAAAGCCTCGCCTGCTTCTGTCTGCGCCTGGGCTAATGCGTCCGTTCTAACAACCTGTTTCCTCGATCACCCCACGCAAAAAGGCCTAACAGGCTCACGGCAGGCCATCACGAGCACACGGCAGGGACGCCACGGGAATCCCAATAGGGCTAGTAGTCGCAGATGCAGAACACACCCTGATTCATCGAGCACACCACGGGACAAGGCCTGATTGACCTGATAGTCCGAGCTTGGGCTACTGCGAAGCGTCTGTTCTGCACAACACGCCACGCTACAAGGCTTAATAGGCTTGATAGTCCGAGCTTGGGCTACTCACGCCACGCTACAAGGCTTAATAGGCTTGGTAGTCCGAGCTTGGGCTACTCACGCCACGCTACAAGGCTTAATAGGCTTGGTAGTCCGAGCTTGGGCTACTCACGCCACGCTACAAGGCTTAATAGGCCTGATAGCCCGAGCTTGGGCTACTCACGCCACGCTACAAGGCTTAATAGGCTTGATAGTCCGAGCTTGGGCTACTCACGCCACGCTACAAGGCTTAATAGGCTTGGTAGTCCGAGCTTGGGCTACTCACGCCACGCTACAAGGCTTAATAGGCTTGGTAGTCCGAGCTTGGGCTACTCACGCCACGCTACAAGGCTTAATAGGCTTGGTAGTCCGAGCTTGGGCTACTCACGCCACGCTACAAGGCTTAATAGGCTTGATAGCCCGAGCTTGGGCTACTCACGCCACGCTACAAGGCTTAATAGGCTTGGTAGTCCGAGCTTGGGCTACTCACGCCACGCTACAAGGCTTAATAGGCTTGGTAGTCCGAGCTTGGGCTACTCACGCCACGCTACAAGGCTTAATAGGCTTGGTAGTCCGAGCTTGGGCTACTCACGCCACGCTACAAGGCTTAATAGGCCTGATAGTCCGAGCTTGGGCTACTGCGAAGCGTCTGTTCACACAACCTGCTTCATGAGCATGCCGCGCTACACGGCCTAACAGGCCATCGCGTGCACATGGCAGGCAGGGACGCTAAGGGAGTCCTTAAGGCTTATTAGCTTGCACAGATCATGCAGAAAGCAACCTGATTCATCCGGCACGCCATGCTACAAGGCCTAACGGGCCTAATAGCCCCTCCCCATCCCTTCACCCGAGCCTGCTTCCTCCAGCACGCGACGGTACAAGGCCTAGCATGCCCGATATCACCTCCCTATCCCTTCACCCGAGCCTGCTTCCTCCAGCACGCGACGGTACAAGGCCTAGCATGCCCGATATCACCTCCCTATCCCTTCACCCGAGCCTGCTTCCTCCAGCACGCGACGGTACAAGGCCTAGCATGCCCGATATCACCTCCCTATCCCTTCACCCGAGCCTGCTTCCTCCAGCACGCGACGGTACAAGGCCTAGCATGCCCGATATCACCTCCCTATCCCTTCACCCGAGCCTGCTTCCTCCAGCACGCGACGGTACAAGGCCTAGCATGCCCGATATCACCTCCCCATCCCTTCACCCGAGCCTGCTTCCTCCAGCAGTACACGGCCTGACAGACCATTTCGCATGCACACGGCAGGCAGCGACGCCACGAGAGTCCTAACAGGTGCAATAACAAGCCACCACGGCCTAATCTCACACCAGCACGGCCTAACCTCACCTCACACCACCACGGCCTAATCTCACCTCACACCACCACGGCCTAATCGCACACCACCCTTGCCTAATCGCACACCACCCTGGCCTGATCATGGCAGTTTTGCACAAATGCAAAAAACGACCTATTGCATAAAAGAATGCCCACCACAGGTCAACGCCTGACAAACTCACGGGCCCTAGCTTGCACAAACAACCGGTGATCAATTATTAGGAAAAGAAGATAAAGAGAAAGAATGCTAAAACAGCTTCTTCTACCGAGCACACCTCGGTACAAGGCCTAACAGACGATCGCATGCACACGCTTGCAACCCTCAAGTCTGTCAGCCACTGGAAAAATATCACTAAACTTACCGCAATCTTAGGTTGGCGTTACTAGGGCTAACAGGCGATCGCGTACACGCGCTTGCAACCCTGAATCTGTCAGCTAGTGCTGGAAATCCCCACTGAACACACCGTAACCTCAGGGTGACGTTACAAGGTTTAACAGACGATCGCATACGCACGCTAGTCAGCTACCTGAAAGTCTGAATCTGAGGTGCCTCAGCACTTGCAACCCTCGAGTCTGTCAGCTAGTACTGGAAATCCCCACCGAACTTAACCGTGATCTCAGGGTGACGTTACTAGACCGAGACGACGATCGCATACACACGCTAGCGATCCTCGACTTTGTCAGCTACTGAAAGTCTGAATTTGAGGCGCCTGCTGGCACTAGCAACCCTCGACTCTGCCAGCTGGCACTGAACATTCTCCACTGCACTTACCGTGACCTTAAGGTGGTGACATTGCCAGCGGTAACGTTAATGTTGCGTTCGCGCAACGACAGGGTAACGTTAGCGACGAGAATCTGCGATGCGACAGCCCTCGAATTTGTCAGCAAGTACTTAAGAGTTAACCCGTGCGCTAACGTAACGTATGGGTGGTAACGTCAACGACGAGAATTTGTAATGCGAAAGACTGACGGCCTTTCCGCATGCGACCGTGTCCAAGCTACCCTTTCACCAGTCGTGACATAAAACGCTCCTCCTCCTTTCCAGCCGGCTACCTGAGAATTCTATAGAGCTTTCCGCATGAGACGGTGTCCAAGGTGCCCTTTCAAAATCAGTCGCGACTCGCGACAAGAAAAGCAGGGAAATTGGTCGATTGTTACACCCAGGGTGGGTTGGGTTGGGTAGGGTAGTAACTGGTGAATCTGGCTTGCAAGCAGGGAAGAACGAAACACATCCCCTAAAGAAGTCGCCTCGAACCCGTATGACAACACTGATGGCGTAAGGCACACCAGCTGGTTGCAAAGCGAGCTTACACGTGGCAAGTGCGTCCCACAAACCGTTTCAGCTCGCACCAATCCAATCACAATAAGATCCAATTTCCGACATCTATTTATCATACTTACCTGGGCGGGGTCTATCGGTGATCAAGAAGGCCGATGGCCTAGGGGTGGGCCCGCCATTGCACTTCGGCCGGCCCTACTCCTAGCACGCCGGAACTCCCGGTGATGCACGTCATCATTTGTGGCAGCGGGGGCTCGCGTTCGCGCGGCCCCTACCAAAAGGAATCCAAATGGGAATAAGGGCGCTTCACCTCTCAGTTCGAATAGCATGCTCGTTCGAACAGGCGAAATGTTACTTACTTCGTCACTCATCGTTTGGGTATTCGCGACGTCGCAAGTAGGAAATTTCGCGAATCAGAACAGAGCTGTCACATGGGGCACGAAGCTCTTCATTTCGCACGTTCGAAAAGAGTAGTTCGAACAAGTTGGGCTCGGTGACAGGGATTCCGCACGGACGACTGATTTGATTGGTCAGCAGGCTTCGGGTCGAATACGAATGTTTGCGACCATTGCAAGTGTCGCCGGGCAGGAGAAAGTGCATCGAAAATGACATTGTTGCTGGGAAACAACAAGGTGAGCAGTAGTAAAAGAGCACGAAGAGACATTTTGACTGGATGGGCTAAAAATGGGTCAAACTGGAATGGCAGACGACTGAAATTTTTTTCTTGCGACGTTTCGCGACGTCGTCCAACACTTGGCGACGTCGCATGTTCGAACAGGCTGTCACCTCTAGTCACCAGCTGTCACATTCACCAGGGTGTTCAAATTTGTGTTGGGATCTTGTCAGGAAATTGTTCGTACAGTGAATTCATTACGTATGTTCGGATTTGGCCCTTCCAGCCCCGAGGTGATTAGCCCACAGGGATGCACTAGCAGGAGCTTCTAAGGTACAAGACTTAATGTACACTACTGTACACTGGCAGCAACTTCATCCACAGGTTTTGTTTCAACCACCACCCTCGCCTGGTGTTGCATCCTTTAGCAAAACACCAAAAATATCAGGCTGACCCTGGCTCAACCCCTCCTGCATGTACACTCCAAACAGAGCTACAGTAGGATCTTTGAGTATTTCTTGCCAAGCTGCTGCATCAGCATTGGAAGAAGCCACCCCTGATTCTGCTGCATCGCCAGTGCTGGAGGACATTGTGGAAATGTCTAGGCTGCCCGAACAGGTCCATTCAGCAGTCCCATCATTCACAGCCTGCCACGGGCATGGCAGAAATAATCTTATTACATCACTGCCCTTCATGCTGCTGCTGCTGCTGCTGCTGCTGGTACTGGCCCCGCCGCCGCCGCCGCCGCCGCCGCCACCACCACCACCACCACCACCACCACCACCACCAGTGCTGCTGCTGCTTGCACCAGAATTGTCTATTTCTGCAGCGCCGCTTCCAACATCTTCCGTTCCTCCTGCTTCCACCACACCAGCCCCATTCACGAACCCACCTCCACCTGCCCGCAAGCCTTCACGCCTTGGTGCAACGCTGGGCTTAGGGGACGGCTTGACATTGCCCTTGGGTTTGAGGTTAAGGCGTGTTCTAAGAGAATCCACTACCGCGACTGGGTCCTTGACCAGAGATGGCCTGCTGCCGCCACCTCTGTTGCTGCCGCCACTTCCATTGCTGCCGCTCCCTGTCCCTTTGCCTTTGTCTCCTCGTCTGCTGCCTCCTTGTATCTTGCTGCCTCCTTTCTTGGGCTCCACTTGCGGGAGTAATGCTACTGCTTCTGAGGAGGAGGAGGAGGAGGAGGAGGAGGAGGAGGAGGAGGAGGAGGAGGAGGAGGAGGAGGAGGAGGAGGAGGAGGAGGAGGAGGAGGAGGAGGAGGAGGAGGAGGATGAGGAGGAGGAGGAGGAGGAGGAGGAGGAGGAGGAGGAGGAGGAGGAGGAGGAGGAGGAGGAGGAGGGGAGGAGGAGGAGGAGCTGTCAACTCCTAGGGGGACGTTCTTGTAGAGAATGACACTGTAGAGAGCGGAGCTCTGAGTGTGTGCTGTGAGAGTGTAGGCAATAGACTGGGGCTGAGAGGAGGGAGGGCTGGCAGGGAGATAGGGAAGAAAAAAAGGAGGGAAGTGGAAGGAAAGTAGAGAGTGGGGCTGTTTTTGAGACGTCTCAAGAAAAGTAGAGAGTGGGGCTCTGAGCATGTGACGTGAGATTGTAGGCGATAGACTGAGGCTGAGAGGAAGGGGAGCTGGCAGCGGGGCATGGGGTTAGAGAAAGGGGAAGGAGGAAGGCGGTCGAAGGAAATAGGAAAGTAGAGAATGGAGCTCTTAGTGAGTGCTGTGAGAGTGTAGGCGATGATGGACTGAGGCTGAGAGGAAGGCGGGCTGGCAGGGAGTCAAGGGGAGAGAGGAAGCAGGCAAGAGAGAGGAAGCAGGCAAGAGAGTAAAAACAAGCACTACCACCGACCGAAAGGTCGTTTTCTACTAAGCATCTGAACTACTATTGCTGCCACACAACGAAACAATGGATCCCAAATGGGGCTTCCTCCCACTCGCAGGGAGTCAAGGGGAGAGAGAAAGCAGGCAAGAGAGTAAAAACAAGGTGACTTTTGAGTCGACTCAAAAGTCAAAAGAAAGTGAGGAAAGAGTGGTGATGAGGGTGGAGCTCTGGGTGTGTTGTGTGGTGTAGGCGATGGACAGGTGCTGCTGAGAGGAGGGCAGGCTGGCCGTGGGGCATGAGAAAGGAGGAAGGAGGGAAGGGGGAATGCGGATTAAGGAAAACGGAAAGAAGAGGAGGAGCATTTAATGTGCGCTGTGAGAGCAAAGAGATGGAGTGAGGTTGAGCGCTGGCAGGGGGGCATGGGGGGAGACGCAGAGGTAAGGGGGAAAATGATTCTTGAGGCGCCTCAGAATGATTCTGGGGCCGTGAGTGTGTGCTCTTAGGGTGTATGCGATGGACTGTGAGAGACGTATGTGAGGAGAAGGGGGAAATGGAGGAGAAGGGGGAAATGGAGGAGAAGGGGGAAATGGAGGAGAAGGGGGAAATGGATTCTTTTGAGCGGACTCAAAAGTCACCTTGGGGACTGGTGGCTGGCAGGCAGCACTGGTGACTCGAGCGCATTCACCCCTTTGCCCCCAGTCACACGGGTGGGGGCGAAGGGGTGAACTGAATGCGCTCGAGTCAAAAGATGATTTTTGAGACGTCTCAGAAATCATCTTTTTACACGTGAAGTGAATGTGCTCGAGTGCGGATAGGCACACAGCTATCCACTGTGCACACAGCCACCCCCACCCCACCTACTTACCTGTCAGGCGCGTTTACAGTCAGAGCGAAGGTGCCCGTGGTGGCTGGTACAACGCTGGTGGGTTTCGAGTTGGCTCAGAACACGCTAGCACACTAACACACTGAGTGAGACTGTGAGAGTGAATGAACAGCCATCCCACCCCGCCTACCTACCTGTCAGGCGTGCCCACAGTCAGAGCCAATGTGCCTGTGGTGGCAGGCAGGCAGGCAGCACACCTGGTTGGGTTTGAGTCACTCAAAGCACACATGCGCTCGAGCGCATATGCGGTACAGTTACCTCCCTTACCGTACCTGTCTGGGGTATCAGCAGTGAGTGAGGGTGAAGGTGGCCGTGGTGGCAGGCAGCACACCTGGTTGGGTTTGAGTCACAGTGCGAGCGAATGTGCCGGTGGCAGCTAGCTGGCATGGCACAACACTGGAGTGTTTCAAGTCGACAGAGTCACTCAGAACACACTAGTACAGCTACAGCTTAACCCTCCCACCTACAGGATGTTCCCTTGCATCCCACTTGTCGTACCTGTCTGTCTGGGTGGCAACAGTGAGAGCGAATGTGCCTGTGGTGGCTGGCACAAGACTGGTCCACCCAAAGCACGCGTCAGAGTGTAAGAGGTGAACAGCTATCCCCTCCAATCGTAAGAGGCTCAAATCGTACTTCAGACTGAGAGTGTGAACAGCTATCCCCTCCACTACCTCAACTGCAGCAGTACCTTTCAGGGGTGTCCACAGCCAGAGCGAATGTGCCTGTGGTGGCTGGCACAACGCTGGTTGGAGCGATTCTCCATCGCAGCGACGAGTAGTGCGCTGGTGGGGGTGGCGGGTGAGATAGGTGCAAGGGGCAAGGAGGGTGGACCGTGAGGGTGGACCGTGAGGGGGGGTAGAGCTGGAAGCACCACGCTGGTGGGGGCGATTCTCCATCGCAGCGACGAGTAGTGCGTTGGTGGGGCCGACTTGGGTGGTGAGGGAGGGGCAAGGGTCAAGGGTTGGTGGGGTGGGGGCAGCCCTCCACCAGAGAAACGAGTAGTGCGCTGGTGGTGGCGGCAAGAGGCAAATAGGAGCCGGTGATGCAGGTGGGTGGGTGGGAGGGAGGGAGGGAGGGGAGGAGTGAGAGGGAAAGGGAGGGCAGAGTGAGTGAGGTGGATTCAGGGAACTAAGAGAACGAGCAGACCTGACACAGAACAACCAACTAGAGCAGCCGCCTTGTATTGAAACAGTGGCAGAAGAGCATAGGCTCCTAACGGACATTGCATGTGCTTGTAACGAGGACATACTTGTAAGAGCAGCAGCGGGCCGAAGCAGTGTGGCAAGCGGCAGCACGCAGAGCAGCACTGCGGGCACACATGAATGACGAAACAGGGAAGGTGAATGGCGAGAATAAGAACGTTAGTGCGTCATTTTCTCTCGTTTTTGCAACAGGGAATGGTGGGACAGGGAATGGTGGGACAGGGAATGGTGTCCTTGTTTATTTTTTTTTTTGCACAGCACGACGGGCAGATGGGGTCGAGAAGAGAGTGATGGCAGTGGGGATGGCGACAGTGAGGACTCAGGCGCGGCATGGCAGCATCATCAATGCAACACAGCAATAAGGGATGGCGAGAATGCGGACTCAGGTGCAGCAGTGCAGCAGTGCAGCAGTGCAGCATCATCAATGCAACAATGCATCAAGCAAGCCCTTCAGAGCCCTCACTCCTCTCCTCCCTCACCCCCTCTCGCCCTCCTCACTGAAACGAGCTCAAAAGCACGGCGGCCAGATTGGGTCTAGAAGAGAGTGATGGCTCTGGAAATGGTGAGACTAAGAAGTGCACCACACCATCCCTCTCACCTTCCTCATCTCTCTCACCCCCCTCATCCCCATCACCCCCCTCATCCCCATCACCCCCCTCATCCCCATCACCCCACTCACCGCCCTCACCACTAATTAGTTCCCTCGGTGGCGGACGCCTGTTGGAAGCATGGTGATGGGTGGGGGGAATGGGGGAGCACACGTGCGACGATGGGGAGCACACGCGCGACGATGGGGAGCACACGCGCGACGATGGGGAGCACACGTGCGACGATGGGGCGCACTCATTGGTAACGACCGTACTCCCCCCTCACCCCCTCACCAATAACGAGCTCCCTCGGCGGCGGACGTCCCATGCGACACATGCTCATGGGGGGAGAGGAAGCAACCCCCTTCGCTGCCTTCACCACTCACCCCTCTTACCCCCCCTCACCAATAACGACCTCCCTCGGCGGCGGACGCCTGTTGCGACGCATACTGATGGGTGCGTGGAGCGGAAAGCGCGCGTCAGGAGTGGCGGAAGCCGCGGGCGCGCGGAAGCCGCGGGTGCGCGGAAGCCGCAGGGGTGGCGGGGAGAGCGAGCGGCGACGGCGAATTCGACGACAGGCAGTGGTAATGACTTCTGCTGAAGACTCTGAACTTAGCGCTTTGACGTCAGCGGAAATGGACGGGCCGTCTGAAACCTGACGGTCGGAAATGCACAGGATGGGAGGTCTGACAGCTGGAAGTGGAACCGGGTAAGAAGGCAGCGGAAAGAAAGGAGAGAGCTCCTTCACGACGAATTCACTTTATGTTGATTGTGGGGTGCGCCGCGCGAAGACAATACACAGTGCAAGTTGCGTGCTGAATTCGTTATTCCGACGAATCGCGGAGTTAATATACATTTTGGTGTTCCGTTGGTCATAAACTGTCGTAATAGGCTGTTATAGTCCGCTCGCCATCATTACAGGAATGCGAAAGCGCGTGAGCTGCTAACACCACAATTGTAACTAGAATCTCACCAACCAAACCATTCAGCCAAGGGAGCCATGGCGTAACAGAAGCACTACACACAGGGCGAGAGCAAGAGAATTCCAGCGAAGGCGTGTTTAGACGCGGGTTTCAAGCCCAGTGCAGCGCTCATGACAATTGACGTGTGTACAGAGGACACGCGGTTGTGACTAGGACGACACAGGGATGAAACGTCTTCGACTCGATGTTGTTTCATAACACGCGAGAGTTCCTTGAATGCTGAACACAGGTGTATGAATGCCTCGAATTTAACAGCACCGTTTCGTTTCTAACTCGGAGAAAAATCATGTTTCCTTAGAAATCATATCACAACATAATGCCCTTACTTTTCGAAGCCTTCGTTGAACACTCCATGAGCTATAATATTCCCGAAAATCTCAACCCATGTGTCAACCGGACCCGGTGTACAGTAGTGCAAACAATCCGTTATTCCTCTCTCCTTAACGTACCCCTTATGACCATCTGGTCTAAGCGCCGTCATTGTATCAACATCCATATACACTGCTTTCACCTCCTCCGCTATCTCCCTCGCAATATCATTTTGACCCGAAAACGTATCCCAGTGGTATGGTAGTGTAGCTGGGTCCTGCCGAATTTTGATTGGCCGATTGTACGATGAACAGTTGATATGCCCCGGCGGCGAGTTCCTGTATACGAGAAGCGCATGTGGAAGCTTCCTACGAAGCAACCTCATGGCAGCTCGTACCGAGAGCTCGAAATCCCTTCCACCAACAAAGTGTGCGCCCCGGTTAACCACCACAACATCAGCATTCAAAAGCCCATCATACAAGTGCCACGGCATGTGGTCGAATGGCACGCTGCCACTTGTCGCACTCCCATTGCTGCTGCTGCTGCTGCTGCCGCCGCCGCTGCTGCTGCTGCCACTGCTGCTGTTACTGTCAGCTGCAGTGATCAAGTCAGGGTCCTGGATATAAAGGTGGTCATTACGAATCACGTGTACTGTTACTCCCGGACACACATTCTCGTGAAACGCGTAGACCTTGCAGAATGCATGCGGTGTCACCACCACTGGAGCAGAACCCCCATCCTCCTCTGCATCCTCCTCTTCCTCCTCTCCTTCCTCTCCATCCCCCAAATTATCAGCTCCTGTAGCAGCACTAGTATTACCATCCCGACTTCTTAAATTCCTCCAGCGAGCAGCGCGACGCAGTTTCTTGGAACCATCCTCACCCACTCCTGCTCCTACTCTGGTTCCTCCCCCTCCCCTCCCAAGCAGCCAATCAACACACTGCTTAGGTTCGGATTCGTCAACAGCCCAGGACGCAGGCTTGGCAACGTGCCGAAGCAGCCCGTTCAGGAAGCTCCCGGCCATTTGGAAGGTCAGCGAGTCCCCAAGAAACACGATATTAAATGTCCCCCTTTCCTCCCTAGCCCGCTTGCAAAACGCCGCTCCGTCAAAAGGTTTTAAGCCACCCAATGGGCACTTGCCAGGTGGCGTCCTCCATTCGTACTTAAGCGATTCTCTTACCGTCCACTCCTCGCTCCCACCCCTCCTTACAATCTCATCCGCTTTAAGACCAGACACCCCCACTCCCTCATCCGCTTGCCTGTGATCGCAGAGGTTCATAAACCCGGGATATTCCCAGGGTAAAACCCTCGGAGTCGGGTTATACACCCAGTTTCCCTCGCGGCTGATGCACTCTAGCCACCGCTCAAACACCCGCACGTCGCGCCGGCGCCGCAGCCAGCTTCCAGGAACCTTCCAGGCCTCAGCCTCCCGCCTCTGTAATCTCTTTTCCAGCCTCTCCTGTTTCTTCCGCTCTGCTTCACTCACTCGCCCCTCTGCTGCTGCTGCCGCTGCTCTGCTTCCCAGCGAAAGACAATCCAGGCCCAGGTGAATGCATGACTCAGATACAGCCTCCCCCAGGTCCTCCCTGCTCCAGGTAATCCGGATCCCTCCCACATCCTCCTCTTTCTCTCCGCTCTCCTCCGCTTCTTCACGCTTCCCTTCTACATGCGTACTCTTGGTCTCGCCGTCCCTCACTTCCTCCGCTCCCTCTCCCCAATCAGCATCATCATCACCCTCATCACCATTTTCCCTCCTCTCATTTGCATCTCTAACAGTAGCATCCATCTCTGAACCTCCACCCTCCGCACCTACTGCCGAACCTCCTCCTTGGGAATCTCCTAGCTCCATCTCCCCATCATCCCGAGCCTCAGGCTCGGTGACAAGCCACAGCTTTGGCAGAGGCTTGAAATTTAGCCGCTCCGACGGCACCGAGACGATGTGCAGGTGACACGTGGCGCTCAGGGATTGGACGATGGAAGATGACGAAAGGAACGGGTCGGGCGAGGGGTTGGAGAGAAGGGGCTGGGAGGGCAAGGAATCGTCCTTTGAGTGAGTGAGGGAGGACGAGGAGGAGAGGGAGGAGGAAGAGTGAGAGAGCGAGAGACCAGTGGGGGGTTGGAGGAGGAGGAGGGAGGAGTTGGGGCGAGAGTAGATGAGGAGGGGGAGGAGGGAGGGGAGGGGCAGGGAAACGAGGAGGGAGGTGCGGGGGAGGAGTGTGCGTGCTGTTGGGGGGGAGGAAACAGTGGGAAGAAGAGCAGGAGTGTTTTTTTTTCTTCTTCTTCTTCTTCTTCTTCTTAAGCATCTCACACTCACAGGGAGAAAGAGGGGCAGGGAAACGAGGGAGGAGGAGTGTGCGAGCAAGCAGGTAGGGGGAACGAAATGGGGAGAAGGGAGGAGAGAGGAGATGTGAGGGCAAGGCAAGCACGAGGCAGTGAGAGGTCAACATCAATACCTCTGTATCCATTCTTTATCCCACAATACTGCACAGTACCGCACTTATTGTATCATCCCCCATCCCCCACCCCCCCCCCGCAACCCCCATCATATCCCAGCAACCCCCATCACCTCCCAACACCCTCCAGCATCCCCCAATCACCCCCCAGCATCCCTCATCACCCCTCAGTACCTTTTTTCCAACCAAGCCTCTTCACCACAGTGACGTTGCTCTCCCCAAACTGCTGCCTCAGCTGACCCACGAGCCAATCAAACTCCGCCATGTGGACGCCACGTGGCATCGCCACCACCATCACCTTTCCCCCTCCTCTCCTCCTCTCTCCACCCTATTCCGCCCCTCATTCTCCTCCCCAGAACCCCTACTGTCATCCTCCCTTTCACTGCTCTCTGGGCGGGTGCTTTCGTCCTGGTCTGCACCGTCTGCGCCGCCCGCTGCCAGCCGCAGCGACCAATCAGGTTGCAGCAGGGGCAGGTGGTTAGATGATGGGTGGAGGAGGAAGGAGGAGCGCAGGTGGGACCACACTGAGGGGCTCAAACGGCCGCAGTGCTGCTGGGTGGGCTGGGGGAAGGGAAGAGGGGAGGGGGAGGGAGGGAAGCAAGAGAATGGGGGAAATGACACAATAAAGGCATGGATGTGGGGTGGAAGGCAGATGGAGGAAAAAAGCACGGAGGTGGGTTCACACTGAGGTGAGGGGCTCAGACGCCTGACTTTTGAGTGGGATGGTGAGCTGGGGGAAGGAGAGAAGAAGAGGGCGCAGGCGATGGAGCGGAGGTGTATCCACACTGAACTAATACGGCGCCCAAAAAGGGTAAGGGGTAAGGGCGCCCACCCACAGTGCTGCTGGGTGGACTGGGGAAAGGGGAGCGGTAGAAGAGAGTAGGGTAGCAAAAGGTAGGGTGGGAGGAATTTAAATGGGAGGAATTTAAATGGGAGGAATTTAAATGGGAGGAAATTAAATGGGGGGAAAAGGAGGAATGTGGAGCGTTGGGTGGGGAGGAATCAAGAACTTACTGGTTCACCTGAATATTGTGAAAAAACACCTGAAGGATCACCTGAGTGACGTAAATCACCTGAGTCACCTGAAGAATCACCTGAATGAGGCGCCTGACAAAGTAGAGCTCGTCAGCAGCAGGAGGCGCGACGACGGTGGCGTTGAGAGATGCCGGGGCGAGCAGGCGGGGAAGCTGGGGGGAGATGACGAAAACACAAAGAGACAAGGGCGGGAGGCAAACGATGGCTTTGAGACGTCTCAAAAGCTCCCTTCTACCCATGGGGGGAAAGCTGCGAATAGCACCATGGAGGAGTGGAGAGGATACAAATGCAGAAAGAGAAGAGTGGAGAGGAGACAAACGCAGAAAGGGAAGAGTAGAGGTCCCAGAGGTCGATTGGAACATGATGAGAGGGAGTTCTTTCCAATGGACAGTGGCACACAGAAACATGATGATGTGAGGTTGCACGCAGGGCCAAAGAGGAGAGGACATATGATGATGTGAGGTGTTCTCGCATGCTTTATCAGGAGCGGTGCTAGCTTGCCACAGCTGCAGCAGAGGCATTTCCCCAATTCCGCTCATTTCCTCTTTCTGAGACGCCACCAGAACTCACATCACTTACCCATGCCTGCCTTAGCAGCAGCACAGGCTCCACTAACCCAAACCCGTTTCTCATAGCCTCTTTCTCAAGGTTAAAAAACAAAAAAAGGGCGACGGCACCTACCCATGCCTGCCTCAGCTGCTGCAGCAGCTGCATTTCTCCATTCTGTCACATTGCCTCATTCTGAGACGCCTCGAGTACTCACACCACTTACCCGTGCCTGCTCCAGCAGCAGAGGCAACTCCGGGTTCTCTTTCAAAAACGGTGCCACTTGCAGCAAGAGCGGTGCCAGCTGTAACACCGTCGCTCCGCTCCTGCCTCTGCTGCTTGCCACGTCAGCAGCTGCCACGTGGCCTCTTGGGACGAGGAGATTGACGAGGGTATCGTGGATGGTTACCCTGGTGCCGAAAGGGTAGAAGAACTATCGTGCTTGAAGGGAGGGAGAGAAGGAGAGAGAGAGGGAATAAAGGAGGGGGGGAGGTTCAGCGGGAAAAGGGGAATAGGGAAGTTGGGGGCGAGGGAGAGGGTGGGGGAAGGGAGGAGGATGGAGGGTGGGGGAAGGGAGGAGGATGGAGGGTGGGGGAAGACGGGAAAGACAAAGAGGGTGAAGAGGGGAAATTGACAAAACCGAAAGAATGATAAGCAGTTCTCTAAAGGCATCGCCTGGTGCAGGCATCACCTGGTGCAGGCATCACCTGGTGCAGGCATCACCTGGTGCAGGCATCACCTGGTGCAGGCATCACCTGGTGCAGGCATCACCTGGTGCAGGCATCACCTGGTGCAGGCATCACCACCCAACAAGGGGAGAGGTGCTGAACGCCACGAGATGAGGCCCGCAGCATGGCCTCACCTGGGTGAGCCCGTGTAGAGAGGGTGAGCCGTGGCAGCCAGCCATTGGCATGGAATGCGTCGGTCGCACTGAACCAACACCCGCTCTTACCCCCTCACAAGCTCACCTGTCAGTCAGCACGTGGTAACCAGAGGCCAGAGACCGCTGAACTGCTGCCCTTGCTTGGTGCACAGTAACAGATGCTGATTCACCTAACATATGCGTCTCACTCACCTGGGTGAGCCCGTGGCAGCCGTTGGCATGGAACACGTGGGTCGCATTGAACACCCGCCCCTCACCGCTCACAAACACGCCTCCCAGCTCATGCACCCGCCCCGCCCACTCTGCCCACTGCACTCCTCCGCTTCCCCACCTTCCCCCGCTGCTTCCCCCGCCCACCCCCACGAGATCTACGTACTGGGGGTTTTCACACACCCACACGCCCCCTCCCCTGCCCAACCCCTCGCTCCCCCCGTCGCCATTGCTGCTGCCCTCCCCCAGCCGCCCCTCCCCCACTTCCCCTGCCTCCCCATTCCCCCCGTCACCCTCCCCCGGATCTTCCCCCCGATCTTCCCCCTCGCCTTCCCCCAGCCCTGGCGGTTGCAGGCCTGGGGGACCAAGGCAGGGGGCCATGCGCGGACACTGAGGGGGGGACTGACAGCTGGCGACGTGCCATTGGGCGTGCGGTGGGGGCGAGTCTAGTGAGACAGATGTAACGCCCGAGTGAGATGTAACGCCCAATGTAACGCCTAATGTAACGCCTGCGCCACCATTGGTGGTATCTGCTCCCGCTCCTGCTGCTGCTGCGGAGCCTGCTGCCTGGAAGTGACTGTAACGACCAGTGCTTATAACGGATGGAGCCATAACGGGGATGGAAGCAGTGACGTGGCGAGAATCGTGGGGGTTCAGGTCGATGATATCGAGACCGTACGATTCCAAGGGCTGCAGCAGGTGGTGCGGGGATTGTTGCTGCTGGCCTTGGGATTGGTTCGTCCGGGTTTGCTGTTGAGAGATGTCGCTTTGGCTTCCGCTGCTGCTGTTGCTGCTGCTGTTACCACTGCTGCTGCCGCTGTTGCTGCTGCTGCTTGTGCTGCTGCTGATGATCAAACCGAATACGCCATCGCTTGGCTTTCCAGCTGCAGAAGCCTCCGCTGCCGCTGCTACTGCTGTAGTTTTGGCCGCCTCTGCCGCTGCTGCTACTGCTGCTGCTGTAGCTTTGGCTGCTGCTGTAGTCTTGGCCGCTGCTGCCAATGCTGCGGCTGCGGAGAGAGCAGGCGATGACGACGACGACACATCCGAGCCCTTCAGATCTTTCCTCGCCAAAATTCGCCTCATTTCGCCGCCTTCTCCCTTCGCCTCAACAGTACCGAATCGCCCCGATAAGAGCAGCCCCGATACAAGCAGAAACGCTACAAGAACGGCAGGTCGGAAAGAGCACATTCTGATAATCTTTCCACTACCGAACTCCCTCCGGTTGAACGAGGGAGTTCCTCCACGAGGACGGCCGACTTGTCTCCATTTCAAGCCGTCGTCGGTCCCACTTCGCTTCCCCATCATTCTCCGAGCCAATCGCGCTGGAAAGCCGCCTAAAATGGCATTCTTTCGGCGTTAACCATTTTACTCGCTAGCAGTTCTACGAGCGTGCTCTCGTCGCCGCATTAGTGTGCCGCATCTGGTGAGAGCAGTGATCTCTGGGACACATTAATAGGATGCGATTCGTTACGGTTTGCGACTAGCTTCAGAGCGCATGCACGGGGTTTAGCGTGCCATTTCACTGTGCGAATTCACGGCGTTGAGTAATCGGCGGTTCGTGTGTTGAGGAATGAGGAGATGTGGTGGTGAGGTGATGCTTCTGGGGACGCCATGGATGAACCAACCACCACAGTCCCTGCGAAATGCGGCACAGTGCGCAAGGAAGCACGCCACCTCAACTCCCTCGAATGCTCCTTTCTTTACAGCTGCCTTAGTACTACAGCTGCCTATGTACTATCTTCAGAATCTTCATTGACAACTATGTATATTCTCATTATTTTTTTCTGGGGTTTCTTTCCTGTCTACAAAATTGGAGACGGCCATTGCAAGTTACCCTCCATAATTTCGGGCCGCAAAGGTGTTTCATATCATAACACAGATAGTATTTTGTGCATTCACCAAGTGAGTCATAGGACAATTCTGTTGAAACTAGAAGCAGAAAGGATTGCAATGATGAGATTGTGGGTACGGTTACTAACCCTAATATTGGGTTGTACCCCATATGGGCTACCCCACTATAGCCTACACAGAACTAACACATATATAGTTTGACACACCCCCATAGGCAAAGTGGGGGAGAACAAGGGGTCACAAGACAAGTAAAGAAAAGCAAGCAAGCCTAGGGTGGATCACAACGTCACCACACACACTGAGCACAAACAAAGGGCCACAAGGCCAGTTCGCATGCAGAGGTATATATGCAACAACACAGTACAGTGATTACTACCTAGCAAGAGCAAGCATGCAGGTATATATACATAGATCACAGTACAAGCAAAGCCTACAGCAAGTGAGGAAACGTAGGCACGAGGCCCAACAAAGTACAAAAGCGCTGATGATCACCAGGCGGAAGTGCCTTGGTGAATATATCAGCAGTGTTGGCCCTGGTGGCCACGTGAGCAAGACGAAGCTGACCACGCTGCTGCAACTCTCGAGCCAGAAAGTACCGCAGAGCGATGTGCTTCGTTCTGTGCTCCAGTCTGTGCTCCTGACACAAGGCAATGGCGGCCTTGTTGTCGACGTACAGAACTGGAGGAGAACGAGGCCTCTCTCCCAAGTCGGTCAGCAGGTAGGTGAGCCAGCGCAACTCCTGAGCAGCCATGGCTGTGGCGTAGATCTCAGCCTCACAACTGGAGCTGAGAACAGAAGACGAGCGAGTAGAACGCCAAGAAATAGAGTCAGAGCCAAGGCTGAAGGTGTAACCCTGTGACGACCGCTGCGTAGCCTGGTCGTCAACCCAAGAAGCGTCTGAGTGCCCAGTGAGGACAACGTCGCTCCGTCCTCCAAGCACGAGCCCCATGCCCGATGTACTGCACAAGTAGCACAGTACCCTCTTTGCAGCATCCATGTGCACCTTTCGGTGCCGACCAGGAGCCACGTAGCGAGCCAAAAGGCCAAGAGGGTACGCAAGGTCAGGTTGAGTGCAGGTCATCAGGTACATGAGGCAGCCCACAAGCTCTGGATACGGGCCACTCGGCTCTACGGACTCATCCGAAGGCAGAGCTGAGAGCGAGTGACCGGTAGGCATAGGAGTGGACTGTGGCGAGGACCAAGTGAAGCCGAAGCGCTGAAGGACCTGCTGTCAGAAGTCTAGGCAGGAATGAATAAACTAGGAGCATGATGGGTACAAGTAGGAAACCCTAATCTGGGTTGTACCCCATATGGGCTACCCCACTACAGCCTATACAATAAGCAGCATATATATTTGACACACCCCCATAGGCAAAGTGGGGGAGAACAAGAGGTCACAGGACCAGTCAAGAAAGGCAAAGCAAGCTCAGGGTGGATCACAAAGTCACCACGCATTCTGAGCCTAAGCAAAGGGCCACAAGGCCAGTTCACATGCAGAGGTATATATGCAACAACACAGTACAGTGATCACTACCTAGCAAGAGCAAGCATGCAGGTATATATACATAGATCACAGTACAAGCAAAGCCTACAGCAAGTGAGGAAACGTAGGCACTGTTAAACTGTATTATGCTTGTAGGCTGTAGTGGGGTAGCCAATATGGGGTACAACCCCAACTAGGGTTTCATATTTGTACCCAAACTTCTGTTAGTTCATTCATTCTTGCCTAGTTATTCTGAGATGGTATTCAGAGCAGGAGGTCCCTAGGACCTACCGACCGTTTTTTTTTAAGGGCCCACCACCGCTCGCATGCGGTTACCACGCTACCCCGTGCCCTAGCCTCGTAGCGCCCTCGTGCGCCCTCGTTAGCGCCCTCGCGCGCCCCTCGTTAGCGCCCTCGCGCGCACCCTCGTTAGCGCCCTCGCGCGCCCCTTCGTTAGCGCCCTCGCGCGCCCCTTGCTAGCGCCCTCGCGCGCCCCTCACTAGCGCCCTCGCGCGCCCCTCGCCGAGCCGCCCGCTCGCAGCCCGCCCGCCCGCTCGCTGCCCGCTTCGCGGCCCGCTCGCTACGCAGCCCGCCCGCCCGCTCGCTGCCCGCTTCGCGGCCCGCCCGCTTCGCAGCCCGCTCGCTCGCTGCCCGCTTCGCGGCCCGCCCGCTTCGCAGCCCGCTCGCTCGCTGCCCGCTTCGCGGCCCGCCCACTTCGCAGCCCGCCCGCCCGCTCGCTGCCCGCTTCGCGGCCCGCCCGCTTCGCAGCCCGCTCGCCCCGCTGCCCGCTTCGCAGCCCGCCCGCCCGCCCGCTGCCCGCTTCGCGGCCCGCCCGCCTCGCAGCCCGCTCGCCCCGCTGCCCGCTTCGCAGCCCGCCCACTTCGCAGCCCGCCCGCCCGCTAGCTGCCCGCTTCGCGGCCCGCCCGCTTCGCTGCCCGCTCGCAGCGCCGCCCGCTCGCCCGCTACCTGCTTCGCAGCGCCGCCCGCTGCCTCACTGCCCGCTTGCTGCGTCGCCCGCCCACACCGCTGCCCGCTTCGCAGCTCGCCCGCCGCGCTTCTCACCTGCTGCTCCCTGCCTGTGCACTGCCGCTTTCTCCTGCTGTGGCTACTAGCTTCGCTCTAGCGTGTCCCCTCTGCTGCTGCCGCTGCTCTGCTGTGCCCTCACGCCTGAGCTATGGCCTCTATTCGCGTTCTTTCCTTCGATGCTGAGGGCCGTCCCGTGCAGTTCACTTCCTGGCTCGACGACCTGCAGTTGTATCTTATGAGCAATAGCACGGACCACATCTCCCTCTATGACTACGCGTCTGGTGCTGCCGCTGCTCCTGCTGCCACAGCCGAGCTTAGTGTTCGTTCCCACTGGCAGACTCGTGACGCAGCTGCTCGCCTAGCCATTCGCAGTCACCTCCCGCTAGCTGAGCTCGAGCATTTTGGCGACTGCAAATCCGCTAAGGCCCTGTACGATGCTGTCGTCGCTCGCTACTCCTCGCCTGCCACAGCCGAGCTTAGCCGCCTCATGCTGCCGTACCTGTTCCCCGATCTGTCCACCTTTACTACAGTCGCCGATCTTATCACCCACCTTCGCACTAGTGATGCTCGCCTGCGTGCCGCCCTTCCCACCGAGTTCTGCGCTAAGAACCCCCCTCCACTGTACTGGACACTCCACTTCATAGTCACCCGTCTCCCTGACACCCTCCGCTCAGTTCGAGACCACTTCCTTGCTCGCTGTCCCACTGAGCTCACAGTCGCCCTCCTAGAGGAGCACCTGCTCGCGGCCGAAAAGAGCATTGTAGCTGTCGGTGCTGCTCGTGGCGCTCCTCGCACCCCCATCTTTGAGGGGTGTTCTCCCTCTCCCCTCGCTCCCTCCTACGCTGCTGCTGCTGCTGTTGACTTCCTTGGTGCTGAGTCTGTTGGCGCTGCTTCTACTCCTGGTGGGAGGCGCCGCACCGGCAAGGGCAAGGGGGGCAAAAGTGGTGGTGGTGGCGCTGGGGGGGGAGGAGGTGGGGGAGGTGGGGGGGGAGGCGGTGCTGGAGGGAGCGGTGGCGGGAGC